CCATGTAGAGCACATTATAGTAATCCATATGGGATGGAACTAAGTTGTGGCCAGATCTGGCTTTTCAAGGAATGGGCGTAGTTAGTGCACAAGTTTTAATTTTGCAAAGGCCCACTTGGTTATCTCTGACACCTGGGCCTCCAGGTTCAGTACCGAGTCCAGGAGGACCCCCACATTGCGGACCTGTGTCTTCAACGGGAGCGTAACCCCATCCTGCACAGGCTGGATCACTATTTCCTGATCTGCCTTCCGACTGACCAGGAGCACCTCTGTCTTGTCTGGATTAAACTTCAGTTTTTTTGGCCTCATCCAGTCCATTACTGATGACAAGCATTACAATCCCTAGACAAACCCATTTAATGCATTATCTCATTTTCTTATGGTTCTAACTACTCTGCATATTGGATGCCTGGTAGAAAGGATTGATGTAGCCATATTGATGCATTACCTAACAAGAAATTGAACCTTGTCAGGACTATACATTTAAAACCCTTATTTGCATTCTTTTTGTTGTACTTATTTAATGCAAACCTTTAACGGGTGTGCTCTTAGAAAATCTCATATTAGAGACAGATCATGTAACAGCATCAAATGCATTGTATTTAATTATGGAATGGACTAAATTCAGTAGATTTTTCAAAGCAAGTCTCTTGTCCACAACTTCCCATCCTTCCCTCTACAATACCCTTCATCAAGCTTTTCTGTGCAAGTGGGCAATTTCATCTTTTAAGCACACATAATTGCTTTCATTGCATGTTAATTTTATACTTTGATATATAAATCCAATATGTACTGTGCTTTGAGTCATCAACATTGTCTTGGGTCATATCTTCTTGAGTCCCACACTGGGCAAAAGCTGGAATACAAAACAAATAGATAACTACAAAAATGTCTATAAGCAAAACATTTCTGATGATTTTAGAACATCGTACTTTGCCGTGTTTGATTATATTATAAACTAGGCATAATTTCTTAGTGTTTCTTCCACTGAATTTATTCTATGACTTGGTTTGTTAAATGATATGTGCAAAGCAGGTCAATTGCTCAAACTCAGCAACACTGCAGAGCCTAGCAAGTGGGAAAAATGTAATGTTCATATACTGTAATGTAGTCTTTTGGCTTGGATTGTGCAACATGATGCTCTGTAGATGCAGATCCATGGTACTCCTGCCTAGGAAGGTAGCTGACTTTTGATGAAAACAGTTAAGCCTGGGGATAATGCCATGGCTGCTTACTGAGTGTGGGTGGGGACATATCCAGGAAAGCAGCTTTATTTGTCTTCAGCTGGTGCATACCTGATGGACTGTCTAATTGCCTCCCCTACTGAGCTAGTAAATGGACATGGCAGTGCCAAAGTGCCTAGACAACTGTTTTTTGTATGTTTGAGTGGGATTAGATATTGTATAAACAGCTAGTGATGGCTTATCATGCAACATCAAAAAACTGATAACATAATATATAACTTTGGGTACATCTGTAAGGGCCAAATACCCTGGGGGTGAATGAGAATTGGCTCTAAGGCATCCACATGGCGCACAAAAGCCTTTTAGACCCAACACATGCTCAGCTACTTAACACAATTTTGTCACGTGTTCAGCAAAATCAGGAAATATTGTAAAGCTTTATCAAACTCTGGAGGAGCCCCACACTACATTGTTTGTGCAAATGGGCCAGTTCTGACTTGGAACTGGCTCAAATGTTTTCATGGCCAGCCCACTTTCTCATTCCAAGGACAAGGGGAGCTTCTAGCTGTCACTCATTGTCTTTGCCAATGTTAACAAAGGTGTTACATTACTCAGAGAGGAGGGATGAAAGGAGCTCTCTGCTATAATGACAGAAGTGATAAATATAAGAGGGAATGATTCAGTTTGGCCGAATCAGGTTTGGCCTAATTGGACGGTGTGGACAGTGTGGACTGTGCTCCCATTGCTGATAAGGGAGCTGTGTAAACATCATGGTAGAATCCAGGTCTGCTCTGAGGTGGAATGCTTTATAGGATTTCATCTTCTGAGATACATGTTGTAGATATCCTCAGCAGGATTTCATATTTGCTGTAAAGTACTTGATGGGCCATCTGACCAGTCAGCATATTTTCCATTTGGGTAAATTTTCTTTTGTCCTACGTATGTTTTAGATAATGGTTGTTCCACATTCAGCTTTAAAAACTTGTCTTATTTATAACTATGTTGCCTTTTGCGGGCATGCTTACATCTACATATGGTATTCCATTCAGGTTGGTACACTGGTATTGGTGTCGGACAGAGCATGTAGCACCAAATTATGTTTAAGACACAATATGAAAATCCTTGTGCACATTACTGTGTGCAAAATTAGGTCTTTTCCAGCATGTCTCCCCCCCCCCCCCCCCCCCCCCCCCCCCCCCCACTCCCAAGACCCTTCTATTCTCAGTCTGCTGTTTTCTTCCTATATGCTGTGCTTGGGTTCCCTATACATGCCCCCTTCTCTGCTAATGGGAAAACTTCAGTTCTGCAAGTTCCAAATCAACATTTTGATTTGGATAATTAGTAACATTGTTTCAATCTTCAGCTTGCAAGAGGAAAATTAAGATCCTTCTTTCCATTTATATTGCTAACATTTGTTTTCCTTTCTATTTCCAGCATGCATTTTCAGTGACATCTTGCTAATCCAATCTCTCTAATTAGGATTCATCCTTATGTTTGATTAGATTTATGTTATGCTTATATCTGTTTGCTTTCTGTCCTCTTCTATTTTTGGATAGACTTCAGTGGCCTATAAAGACAGAGGAGGGATAACCCAGGGTAATGAAAAGCAACAAAACAAGCTTCCTTCCTTAATGCAGCAAGGGAAAGGTTCCAACAGAAAGCTTTGGGGGCATGAAATTTCCCTGCTTACAGCAAATAAGCTAGACAGCTCCATTTGCAAGCTTCCCTTCCCTTTAGTCTTATTTTTAGAGATTCAGAGCCTGGCCTCCACAAATCAGGTTAAGCTGTACATTACAAGGTAACTGGTTGACCTTGAAGCAATCCTTTTTGAGGGAGAGGTGACTCGGGGCTTGGCAGGCACAATTTATGTCACTCTGGGGATGGCAAAAGGAGCACATGAGCATAAATATAATGTGGAAATGGGAGCAGGAATCGGAGATAGATCTGGTAGATAAAGGCCTGGGCCTGTGTTTTTGAGTAAGTAGGTCAAAGTACGATAGCATCATCTCCTGTAGAAAGACAATTCCAATTCTTGTTTGGATGTTATGGGATGCCAGCCGGGCTTCATCAGAGAGATAAAAAATTATCTCCATTATACTGGTGAGGCTGCAGAATGAGGGGGAAACTAAGCATATATTATGAGACTGAAAAGGCTCTGAGGCAGAAATCAAAGGATGATGGGATAAGTCACTGGAGACCAATTTCTGCTAAGTACAGTGCTAAAGCTGTTGGAGGCTTGTGCTCTCTGGCTGAAGCACTGTTCTTACTGAAGTCATTTTACAAGAACTATGTTGTTCCTGCAGTCATAGCCAGATCCTGGTGCTTTGAATCCACATACATATACACAAACTCAAATACATGAGTACAAAAGACAAACTCAAATACATGGGTCCTAGGAAATCCTTTAACTGTTATGCTCAAATGAAAGGTTTGCCCGTGTATTGCCAGCTAGTGCAGGATTTTGTATTTTGCATCAACAAAAGCCACTGGTTTGGACATTGGGCTACAGCATTGAAGTCCAGGGTTCAAATCTCTATTCACCCATGGAAATACAGTGAGTGACTTTGGGAAGACATATCCTCTCTCAGCCTCTGAGGAAAGCAAAGGCAAACACTTCTGAATATATATTGCCAAGAAGACACCATTATACCTAGGATTGCCATAAGCTGGAAACCACTTGAAACTCCACACATTTATATGCTGTGGTATGTTAATCTAATTTTCTAAGTGCAACATGATGTCTAAGTGGTGTTTGTCTTTAAGTATGTTAAAAGGTATCTTAGAACTGGAGAAAATAAATATGGTACTGACACTGGAGAGTAGGTAATTGCAGAGCTGTCTGAGAATAGAGACAGATGAATCCCTGAATGAATAAACAACAAATGGGCATATATACACAGCCAGTTGAACCTGGGATGAGTAGGAATCAGCTCTTAAACATCCACATGATACATAGGGAATTCTCACCCTCAATACAGGACATGGCCACTTAACATAGTTTTCCCTCACTTTAAGCAAAGTTGGGAAATGCCCTGAAGTAGCACTGTAATTCAGGGTAGTATAAATAATTGACCTAATTCAGATTCAGAGCTAGTCTTTTTGTTCACACAGCCACCTCACTTTCTCCAGGTTCTGCAGTATGATGATGGGGGGGGGGGGGTATCCTTTCTCCAGCACAGCTGTGACCATGGAGCTCCAAAGAAGCTTTGACCATTGCTGAGTGCCATTGCTGACATTTGTGTGGGTGCTTGAGTGACATGAAGAAGAGAGGAAGATCATCCCTCCTTCCCTCCAAGTTATTTGGGCATCCTTGAAAACATCAACAATGGCACCCAGGGACAGCCATTCACACCTAGTCCATTGTGTTTGGCCCTCATAGACATTCAAGGCTCCATTCCACTGCCGTAGCAGAAATGGAGGCAGACAGCTGCCCTGGGACTGGTATGGAAGACTACATTCTAGACTGGCCCTGGTTTTTTTTAGTTTATTTAGATACACCTTATATATTTTATACATTGACCTTCACACCACTGAAAGCTAGAAATGTATTCCTTTTAAAAAGGTTGCCCAGATCTGTTCACTTAATCTTATTTCATCACAGAAAAAAGCTGATCCAATTGTCAGAGCACATTTGTCACTGTAGCTGTTTCAGGACACACATTGCAGTTACGTGTATCAGGACACCAAACAGGTTTTAGTAATTGCAAGTGAGGGCTCATGACTACAGAGCTGTCATGTATTAACAGAGCTGTGGCTTCATGTTGCTAAGGTTCATTGTGAAATGCAACAGTCTGAAAAGGGTCTGGGTGGAGCAACCAATGTTAGCCTTCTTCCTGCTGTTCCTGTGCATGAAAGCAGCATGATTTTACATTCTGTCTGAAACGCGAAAAAGTAAGTGTGATGTAGGTTGCCAAGTACATAATGCAGTTCATAAATTGTTTAAATTATTTTAATATTATATGATGCATATGAGTGCATGCATGCAGAGGTACATGCAGCTATGCTCGTCTCACTAAGTGAACCTAAACATTGTGCCTTTACAAAGAGTGAAAAATATGGCTCCAAACTATTTGGTGCAAATCAACAGGAAATCTGAAACTGAAATAATGGTTCAGAAAGGAACAACTGCTAGAATCCTACGTTTAAACTCAGCTGCCCTATTATATCTGCAACTCTGGAACTCACAATGCCTTTTTTGCCTCCAATTTCTGAATTGTCAGACAGGAGACATGGTGCCAGCAGAAAAAAAATTCCCTTATACAATCTCTTGTTAGCTAAGTGCGGTGTTTTGTTCCACAGTTACATGTCTGTACAAGCCGTCATTGTGTCATTCATAATTACCACCTGTTCAGTGGTTCCCTTCAGGTTTCATCACCTCTGCAGCTTTAAGGAGCCAGCTGCAGGAAGCGGAGTCGACTTCCCTGGAGCAACAACTGTCAGGCTCAAGGATTCAGGCTATAATTGCTGCCTGTTGCACAAACATCTCTCTGCTTCCAAAATATAAAATATCTAGAGCCATTTGCTTGCTTCGGATAAAAACAAGACTTGTCAAGTTTGGTTTCTGCTAGAGCTCTCCTTATGCCAAAGCCCTTGATTTTTACACTGACTGCTTTAACGTTACATCCTACCAGTCAATTACATTACAGGTTGATGTACTATCTCTCATAAGAATGTTACCTCTGATCCCTGAAGTTCTCAGTTCAATTTTTATCTCAGATACTAATTTAATAGGCAGCTCTAAGAATTCCCCTACCCTTATTCCTCCTAACTGCCCCCTACCCAGAGTTTAAGTGGTCTACCTGCAGTTTGGTGACAGTAGTAGCAACTCCCCTTACTGATGCTGTAACCTGTGGTAAAGCTTTGAGTATCTCTAATGCAAAATGCTAGGGACCGCTTGGCTCACCCACATGCCATTTACTTTTCAGGTATGGCATGCCATGTGGCTGAATCTACAAGCAATGGGCCAAAGACAGTCATCACTCTCTTCAATCCAGTGCTTTTGGACTCTGCTGAGTGAAGTACTGTACATGAAACATGAGTTAGAGAGTGAATGAATGAAGTGCCATACCTGAAAGACAGGTGAGTGGGTTAGTAAAGTGCCTTAGATGAAAGGATGCAGGCAGGTAAGCAAGTGAGCGAGGGAAGAACTGTAACTGAAATGGGGTGGGTGAACCTATTATTTATGTAATGCAGCAAGACACATGGAAAGGGAAGCTTAGCTAGACTGTTTACAGCAGGGAGGCTGTCTTTCTTCATTAGCTACACTATATGCTGGTCGTCTGCCAGCAGTACATTGAGGCAATGAATCAAGGCTGCAACTATTATGCGAGGAAAGCTAAAATACTGATTTTGGGACCAGAAAAAGGGGGTGTGACTATTATGAGGTGGTCAGTATTATGCCTGACCTGGTAATCCCTCCCCTGCCATTTTAAGGACCAGTTGTTGAATTTGGCAAAGTAGGTTTATTCAGTTCCTAATCTGGATGCAAAGAAGACAGTATTTCCAACCACTCTCCCATCAGCAAATGAGTCTGCAACAAGGACCTCCCCTGATTGTCACGGGATTGCTAGATGCCAGGAGGAGGTTGAGAATGTTATTACCCTTCCACCCTAAACAGAAACTCATTGAATCTCTTTTGCTTAATCCAGTGGCTGGTTCTTGAGGTGAACATGGTGTCATTCATATAGGCTTCCAGTAGTACTATACAATATTACTTAATACAGAACAGTTACAAATCCCTATGTCTAGGTAATGAATATGTAACTGCAACAATTAACATACATGGCTCTACCCACCTCACTCTATAGGCTTCATGTGATCTCTTCCAACTCTATGATTCAAACTGGACCTGTGGAACTGTCCAAAAAGGCTGATTATTCCCAGTGTGAAGTTAACTATTTCACAATCCCTCAGCACTAAATAAACATAATCCATACACATGTACGATATAAGGACAGATTTCACACTGTTGTGTGTGGCTTCTACTGTATCTCTTAAGATGTTTTACGTTAGCTCATTTGTCTGTCTTCGATACAATTGCCAATTCAGACTGAAAGGATACCTCCAAGGTTTCAGGCAGAGTTCTTTCCTAAACTCTGTTTGAAAAAGGCTGGTGTTTTCCTAGTGCTAGCCAACTTGGCCCCATTAACCTTCCAAAATAAGGGGGAGAATAAAAACCTGGTTGTGTTATTGTCTGTCGCTAGAATACAGTGGTGGCTGGTGGCTCCCATGTCGGAAAGGTAGTAACTAGTCCAGATTTTAGATCACTGCAAAGGCACTATCCAAGGTGGGAAACATATTTCAGCAATAAGACTCAGTAACTTGGATAAATCCTGTAAAGACTAGATTGAAACTTTGCCTGGATCCACTGACTACATAGTGGTTGCCACAATCTTGTAAATATCACTGTCAGTAGACAACTAAACCTTGTGATATGAGAACATTCCCCCTTCAAGTTTGATGGGCAGAATCCCATTTGCGTTTCTGTTGGCATCAATGCCATTGTACAAACAATTGTCCTTTGAAAGATGTTGCTCAAGGCTGGTATCCTAATCAGTATTTTTCAGGCTATGTCACACTGGTCTCACCTCTGTACAAATAACATATTTTTGATGACATTGCAAGGGAGTTGTCCCTAGCATAGACAAGCAGTTCTATAAATGTTTGACAAAATTTTGTACAACAGTGCAAGTTGGTATAACTTCACATAAGTTGCTATAGTAAGCATGATTTTTGGCTGTAGACAAGCAGGTAGTGCCAATCTTGCTCTTGGATGAATAACTGCTGTTTCTTTACTTGGATCCTAAAAGGATAAAGGTAAGATGGTTCTGCATCTTAAAGGATAGAAGTAAGAAAGCTACAATTTCTCCCCAAATCCAGCATTCTCTGGATCCAGCATAATGCTTTTCTATAAACACAGATTTATTCTTCTAATGGGATGAGTAATAGTTACATATAATTAAGAGAGTAGAATATACCTGTACTGGGGAAACAGATAGAAGTAAATTAAATCCAACTCTGGTTGTATGTTCAAACAGTGGCATATTTCTTTCCATGTCTGGATTTTCTGGGCTGTCTCTCAAAAGTACAGGGATGCATAACTGAAAGAAGCAGAGAAATTAAAAGTGGCTATTTTATAAAAGCAGAAAAGAAGGGAAAGAAAAGAGAAGCACAGGAAAGTGTGAAATTTTTAGCTGCCATATTTTTGTTGCATCTTCTCCTAAGATACAATTTGGTTTCTGAAATTTCCACAATTTTAATAAATTTCCTTCTTATATGAATAATAATCTTTAAACTAGAAGTTTGGAGTAAATTCAGTAAATCAGCAATGGGGATGAGATGGTCCTTACATTAGGGTCCTCATTTGTAGAAAGATCCATTACAGATCTGCAGTAATTCATATGTTTTAACTTAAAATTTGATATAGACTACCAAAATTCTTGAGGATTTGAAGCCCGAGAGAACAAATATAGAGGAACCAAGGCACTGCAAATTTAAAACTGTCCTCTGTGTAGGCAGACTGGATAATAGCTTCATGAAGCTTTCCAAACTTTGTGACATCTACATGGAACTATAATGATCATGGCTATAGTCTGTTAATACTTACAGCTCATCCTCTACATTCAATGGCATTAGGGGCACAAGGCCTTAATGAAAGTGAAAAACTGCAAATTTAAAAATTACTACAGTTTTCCCCAGTGAACATCTCTCAAAGATTTTCTAAATCTTCCCACATGAGTCTATGGTTAACTTCTACTGGAAGCTGATCACAGAATTGCATTGGAAAACCGAAAGAGATATTTTCTTTAGAAGTCTCTTGGTCCTCTAGCATAGGAAAAAGGTGATAACTGAATGTCACTGGAGGACTTAGAGATTCCTACAAAAACCATCTTAAGCATATTAAGTTTGAAGCATATGACTCCTTGGGTTTGACGTGGATGTGTGGGACTGGGTCCCCCTGTTATGATCTGGTCATGGACCGTAATAAAGTTGACTTACTACATCTTAAATGAAACCCATGAATTAAATACATGAAAGTCAAAACCACAAATATTGAGGGATAACTATATTTACAAAAGGTGGTTACTTTACTGCTAATTACTTTTTGCAACTTATTATTGCATTGACTGCTATGCCTCAGTCACTAACAGAAGAGACTTTCACCTCTCGATGTAGCCGTTGGCTGTTAAGAGAGATTTCAGGTGCCATTTGGGACTGTGGCAATAGCGCCATCATTTTTAATACAAAACATGGCTGAATATAGTGCATTTGTGGATTTGTAACTCTACGTAAACTCTAGGTCACGAATCAATAATTGCAATGTAGAATGTCACTCTTTATTTACAAGAATTGCATGGAAGGCAGTGTTGGCACCCTTACTGTATTCCAATTAGAATTCCAGACAAGTTGTGAATTAACAATTAGTTCTTTTTATCCAAATGAGCAGGTACTTAACAATTTTTACAATACTGTACTAGACTTCCAAAACAGTAATGAATAATATTTGGTGTTTATGGTATATTAACTACCGTGTACATGTAGAATCAAAATAGGTTTTTTTCTGTTTTCTTCTTTTTAAGTCTAAAGATTGCACATTTTTCATGTGGATCTAAATACTCCATCTGTAAAATTGCAAAAGTGGAATTGCATGCCATATTGCAGAAACATTGTAAAGCTAGTCCCTTTATTGCTAAGAGGGCCATATCTGAATTAAATAAGGTTTTAACCTCTGCCATAATTAACCTTGGGTTTTTTTTTGTTAAGATGCAAGGGCAATCCACTGACAGCCACACACAGCTGCTGCATTTTAAACACATATGCTCACACACTTGAGTGCAATATTTTGAGCAAAGACGTGCCTGTTTTCCTCTGCAAGCTCCAGAGTGAGAGATCCAAGCATTCGACTTCCCTTCCATATAATTGTGTGTTCAGTCACTGAATATGGATCATGTTTAGAGGAGCCGTGTAACATGTTGACAACCCCACTGTGCATAAATATGGATTATTCTTTTTGCAACAGCTTGGCCAAAGCAGAATGAAAATGACTGTTTGTTCTATTATTTTTGTAAGGCCTAAGCAAACCAAAATAAGCTTTCTATGAAAGAAAAGCTGTAACGGCCAATTGAGGGGGGAAAGTTCTCTGATGGAGGAGTTCTGGTCCTCAAATATTTATCTTTTCTTTAGATTTTACCAGGTATTCTTGTCTTTTGCATCATTAGCTCTTCAATAATCTGGTTTGCTCCTTCTGAACAGGAAACCAGGCAGAGAGGGAATGGGACAATTCAGATGACAAAATATGTCAAAAGAAGCCCTGTAGTAAAGGAGGGCGAGTGACTGAGAAATTGCAGCTGAATTAATTCTTTGCATCAGTTTGCACTATTGAGATATTATAATGATTCAGGTGGCACCTGAATCATGTTTTTCTTTTCCTAGCAGTACCTTTGAAGAACTAAAACAAACCTAAGTGACGAAGAATGAAGTTTGGGACATAAATGACACATAGAAAAGTTGAGAGATCATTGAATCTCCATGCCATTTCTCTCAAGAAATCTTAAAGAATTTCCCAATTCTTAATCTGTGTATAATTAATATCAGCCTCTTGGTTTGACAAGTAGTTAATATTATCCAAGTGCTATATTTCAGTAACTAAATAGCTGGTTGGGGATTGGTGGTAGTCTATGCAGAGATGCAAAATCCTTTGCCATATCAGCTCTGGGCAAATATGTCAGGGGCACAGCACATAGTGGATAGAAAGTGTCACAAGACTAGCATTTCCCCTCTGGATTGGGGTTGCATAGATTTCACTTTTATTTATCAATTGAAATATTGATTGTGCTGTTGTGTACCTTCTAACTTATGATGACACTCTTATAGGGTTTTCTTGGCAAGATTTATTCCCAGTTAGTTTACTGTTGCCTTCCTCTTTTTTATCATGTCAGAAGTGACTTGAGAAACTGAAGTCGCTTCTGATATGAGAGAATTGGCCATATGCAGAGATGTTGCCCAGGGGACACCCGGATGTGTTACCATCCTGTGAGAGGCTTCTCTCACGTCCCCACATGGGAAGCTGGAGCTGACAG